AAACTGGATGCTTATCTTGCTGGGATCCTATGACCCCAGCTGACTTCCTGCCCTTTGGGCAGGGGGCTGGACTCGATGATCTTCCAAGGTCCCTTCCAGCCCTAATGTCTATGAAATCTATGAAGAGTCCCTTAAAAATCATGCTCTTTAGTTAATGTGCATTAAGACAGGCTAATGTGCATTTTCCTTGTACCTTATAATGGAGGAGGGCACATCTACATGTTCAATTAATGTGCTTTAGGTAATGTGCATTTAATCCTCTGGGTACTTTACACACGCTCCAGGGGTGGGGGAGAGGCAGTGCTTAATTACAGCGGCTCCGAGAGCCACTCTAATTAAAGCACTGCCGTGTCTCCTGTATTAGTATCCCTGCACTTAAAAATGGCAGGGGGGGGACTTGAACTAAAGCTCATCGAACAAGCTTTAGTTCATAAGCCTCCACTGCCATTTTTAAGCATGGGGATGCTGGAGACATGAGACATGAGACACAGGAGGCTGCTGCTGCATGGCAATTATCATGTTCCAGCAGAGTCAATTAATCAAGTCTGCTCAAACATGCTTCAATTCCAGCACATTGGAGCAACCTCCGTCCTCATGTTTAGGTGCGCTTTATTGTGAGGTACTAGAAAAATGTGCATTAGCCTATTTTAATGCACATTAGCTAAAAAGCATGAGTTTTTTGTGACGCGTTAATGCACATTAAAATAGGCTACTGCACATTAAAGTGCATGTGTAGATGCGCCCTTGGTAATAGATGTAATGCGGGTTAACTAAAGGAGGTTAATGTACATGTAGATGCGCCCAGTGTCTGTTTGCTCTACTTCACTCTGCTGCTATTCCAGAGAAGAAAAATCAGCTCTCTCACTGAAGATATGGACCCCAATTTTGGATGGCTAATTTTTTTGAAAAAATACGCATAGTAAGCAAGCAAATATGGTACGTAGTAGTAGTCATAGTAGTTGTACAGTGTCAACAGAGCCAAGATCTGAAGATAAGATAATAGCATGACATTTCTTGCTGAGAGAGAAATGGTGTATAAAACCAATAGACATTATTAATATAGCCATGAACCCACATGTGTGCTCATGCCATAATGTAACAGAAACCATGCCCCATCCTACCATATGGATTATCAGGATCACCAGAGGAAGGATTACATAAGGAACAGAACAGAAGCTGCCAAGTTGCTCTTCCCTTTCTGTGTGTGTAAGTGTAGAGTTTGATAAGCAGGTGTAAGGAGATGAAGCCTCATAGCTCATTCCCTCCAGTGTGCTGGCCCACGTATCAGTGCTGGCATCAAGTGGGGAGTGAGTGACCTGTGCCAGGAAAAGCACTGGAGTAGGTTACTTTGCCACTGGAGCAAGGCAGAAGCAGGGATCAGATTGTGATTCTTGGCATCACAGGTCCTATCCTGCAACACAGCTATGCAGTGACCCATGTTCTGGCTGGATGGTGAGGTTAAAATTCAGTTTACAGTGAATAACAAAAATGGCTTTCAAAGGCTGCTATAACTTAATGTGGGCTAAATGTGCTTTAAAAATATTAACGGTATCTGCCAACTTTTACACACTTTTGTTGAAGGCAGCAGGAAGGAGGCTGTGAATAGGAAATGAAATTTCTGTTCTGTGGAAAATTTTGCAATTTTTTTCTCCATTCCAGATCAGAAAGCAAAGTCATATTCACAAAACTGGTCACAAAATGATTTTTGAAGCAATTCTCTTTGGGGAGAATATAAATGGAATTTACTGACCTATTTCGAGGAGCCAGCCAGGCACCCAGGACTGGCTCTGGGGTTGCTAGACTATCTGCCTGCCAGACAGGTAGCCAAAGAGCTGAGTAGATGAGGATGTTTGAGAACAAACTGCTGATGGATATCAGGAAATCTGGGGAGCTGGGCAGCCCAGTTGCATGTCAGGCAGGTAGGCAGGAAACTATCCAACCAGCTGACCAGCCAGCAAATGCAGCCACATCCACATTGAAATGTTTTGGATTAACTGTATAAAGTGCAATGCAAAAGACCCCCCCCAAAACCAAACAAAACCAAACAAAACCCAAAATAACAACCAAACCCCAAAACATTGGTGCATGCAGTTGATCCCTTTTTTTCTTTCTTTTAGGCTACTTGGAGCCATTAGAAAACCAAAGCCAGGAACAAAATTACCCACTACATGAGATGGAGGAGCAATGATCGGCTGTGGCTTCAGAAGCTGTGCATGAAGAATTTTGCACTTGCAGTTATTTGGAAGTGTCTTGGCTACATGTTTTCATGCACACATCATGAGGTAAGTAGGCTTTAGTGTTACCACGTTTATATGTCAAGGCCTGGAGCTTGTGAAAGGATAATCCCACTGGTACAAATGTGCCTTCACATCAGATATCAGTCTAAAGAGGCAACTATGTTGCTTGTGCTTGTAAATAGTTGTTCTTGCAAGTGTTGTTCACCTAAGTGTAGAGGCCTTCACTCTGATTCAATGGCTGTCCATTATGCTTCTGGAAAATAAACCATGTGGTGTGTGGCAAATAATTCATACACTGCTCTATGTATATATAACTTAGCACTGACCTAGCGAAGGGGCACTTGGAAGGGCTGGATGTATTTAAGTGGCCGGGCCCCAATGATCTTCACCCAAGGGTACTAAAGGAATTGGCTGATGTTATAGCACAACCACTGTCACAACTGTTCGAGCACTCGTGGCACTCGGGACAGGTCCCAGAGGACTGGAAAAGGGCCAACATGGTCCCTGTTTTCAAGAAGGGGAGGAAGGAGAACCCAGGTAATTATAGGCCAGTTAGTCTCACCTCTATTCTCAGCTAGACCTTTGAAAAAATCCATAAAGGGGGCCAGCGAGTCACACTATGGTAAGGGGCAACCAGCATGGGTTTATAGTAGGCAGATTCTGCCTGACTAACCTGGGTCTCTTTTTATGACCAGGTCTCAAAGTGCTTAGATGTAGGAGTGGAAGTAGATATTATTTACCTTGATTTTAAAAAGGCTTTTGACACAGCGTCGCACCCAATTCTTATGAGCAAACTGAGTAGCTGTGATGTGGATTTTTTCAGAGAGTGGTGGTGGAAGGGGCAGAGGGATGTGGGCAGTGGTGTCCCCCAAGGCTCTGTCCTTGGACAAGTGCTGTTTAATATCTTCATCAGAGATTTGGATTAAGGTGTTGAAAGCACCTTGTCCAAATTTGCAGATGACACTAAACTATGGGGTACAGTTAACACACTGGAGCGCAGGGAGCAAATTCAGGCAGATTTGGACAGACTGCAGAAGTGGGTGGATCAGAATAGGATGCAATTTAACAAATAAATGCAAGGTGCTGCACCTGGGGAGAAGGAATCTCCAACACACCTATAGACTGCGGGGTACCATTCTGAGTACTACAACAGTGGAAAGAGATCTCGGAGTCCTGGTTGACACAAAAATGAGCGGGAGCCGCCAGTGCAACAAGGTAATAAGCAAGGCTAACTGCACTCTTTCTTGCATCAGCAGGTACATCACGAGTAGGTCTAGGGAAGTGATAATTCCCCTCTATGCGGCATCAGTGAGGCCGCAGATGGAGTACTGCATCCAGTTTTGGGCGCCGCACTTCAAGAGGGATGTGGATAACCTTGAGAGGGTTCAGAGTAGGGCTACTCGTATGGTTGGGGGCCTGCAGGTAAGACCTTATGAAGACAGACTGAGGGACCTGAATCTCTTCAGCCTCTGCAAGAGAAGGCTGAGAGGTGATCTTGTGGCTGTCTACAAACTCATCAGGGGGGGCCAGTAGGGAATAGGGGGCACTCAGTTTACCAGGGCACTCCTCAGGGTTATCAGAAATAATGGCCACAAACTGAAGGAGAATAGATTTAGATTGGACATAAGGAAGAAATTATTTACGGTGAAGGTTGCCAAAATATGGAATCATTTTCCAAGGGATGTGGTGCTTTCCCTTACCTTGGAGATGTTCAAGAAGATAGTGGATAGGCATCTGGCTGGGGTTACTTAACCCCAGCGCTTTTTCCTGCCTGGAGCAGGGGGTCAGACCCGATGATCTGCTAGGTCCCTTCTGACCCTAGAAATCTATGAAATCTATGACTTGTTGCTATGTAATGTAGTTTTAATTGCTTAGGAAACATAATACACACTATATAAAAACTAAAATCTATTCCAGTCTCTTTTCTTCTGGTAACAGCCTAATGATTCACAGTTGTCAACATGGCCTACAACTTTGCCACTAGGAACTTCATGTAGAAATATGAACAGAGTTCAGGTCCAGCATGCCCTGGAGCTAAAGGAGAATCATTTTCAGATGTCAGTGGGCACATCAGGTGTCAGCCAGGCAGTTAATGTGCCTGAATATTCTGGGTAGAAGAAACTGTGTCCCTGCATCTGAATGCGTGCATATTGGGAGCAAATTTGCTCCCTTTGGGAGCAGTTGGGAGGCAAGCTACTTCTGCCCTGCTCTTCCCCCCTGCAGCAGCCATGGGGAGCTCTAGGCTTCCCCAGGTGCCAGCCCTGGGCTGGCAGGGGGCATGGGGGCTGGTCCTGATCTACATGGGGCAGGGAGGCAGCTGCCTGAACTCTTCCATCTGTGTGAAGATCGGGACAGGTCCTGATCTCCACGTGGCTGAGAGGCACCATTCTACCAAGCTGCGACAACTCTCCCTGCCCCCTGTGACCCCCTGTATTTACAGGTAGTAGAAAATGGTGCATTAGAGTAATCTACTGCAAAGTAATTGCTGTGCAGGTGTAGGTGAAGATGGTTTACTGTGCATTAGATTAGTTTAATGCACAGTAAAGCATCTCGTGTAGATGCACCCAATAGTCTGTTGTCAGACACACTATTGTTTTTGTCCTATAGAGAACAATAGAACAGACGCGCTATATTGCTAAGGAGCAGAGCAGATGAATGGAAAATAGACTGAATATCTGTGTTTAAGTAAAACCAGATCCTTATTAGTTTTAAAAGGCAGCCTCTTGAATTCCCATAAATCCGTTCCCTTCAGTGCTGGACTGCTGCTATTTCAATGCGTAATAGACCTGACCTATATAAAATGGTAGTCATTTCTGCACTTGGAAGATGAAAGTATCAAGCATTTTAATTGTGCTCTGCATGTTTAAGATGCTAACGAAAGTGCTTATTGTGAACCTGCCAGTTAAAATAGCTGCCAGTAGGAAAAGGGGACATACCTGTGGCTTTTTTTGGGTTAACTGAGGTCACATCTACAACTAATGTACAGGTTCTTAAAGTATTTTGGCATGAATGCCTGAAAATCACAGGCAATACTCAACTCCTTCTATTAATAGTTTTGTAATAGTTTGCCCTAGGAACAATGTTTACAGAACAACATCAAGATTTTTTTCTATAATGTTGGAAGCATGCAAGATGCTGGCTGAGACATTCCTATTAAGAACCCAGTCAAAGAGCTACTCTTAACATGAAGAGTACTGTAAAGAACCCTGGTCTGGCAAACAGTAAGCATGTGTAGAGCTTAAACAATATTACTGAAGCCAAAGAGAGTATTTACAAGCTTGTTTTTAAGCAAGTGCTTAGCACTTTCCTGGCTCCAGACCTAAGTACATTGGAGTAACAGATTAATTTAGATTACTTTACTTGATTTGCATTTTCATAGCAGTTGTTAGTGAGACAGCATAATTTTGTGCCTTACTTTACCCTTTCTCCTCACTGTAGAAAACCCAGATTAGAAACTGTCAATACCATTCATTTTTCAAAAGACATTATAGAATTTTAGGAGGTGGAGGGTCCATTGCTAGCCATGCTCTCTTACTAAATGAGAATCACTAGACTTGGGTCTTGTCTGATTTACTCTACTACAAATTAGGAGTGACATTACTGAAGTCAGTGCAGTTATACAGGTGTTAAGTAGGCCTAAAAGAGCTGACAATCTGGCTCAGTGGGTGTGTCAACGTGTTCATTAATGTGCCGTAATTATGGTGCATTAACTTTAGTACCTATAATAACAGGTACTAACTTAATGTGCTGTAATCGGCACTACTGCACATTTGCGTAGATGAATGCTTTTTGTGTGACGCTTAATTCCCATTGGACTAATCTACTGAGCACTAGCACAGTTTTTGCCAGCTGTGCTAATGCTCAGTAGAATTAGTCCAGTGGGCATTAAACATCTCATGTAGACGCACTGAGTGAGTGTCTCTTGTGGTAACTTGGAAGTTGTTATTCAGAACCAAAATCTAAGTGAAAGCTATACTGGTTACTTTTTGGCAGGGTGTGGCAGGGGGATGTCCCAAGGCCAGGCACAAGGCTGGCCTGCCCACCTGTCTAGGGCAGTGTGCCCTGTATCTCCTGCCATGACTTGATGTATAAAGAAAGATGAAATAATGCGGGACGCTGCCCATTTTATGTCCTGATGCCAAAGGGCAGTATACAAGGCTCCTACCTTCCCTATACCTTGTCTCATTCCTTGAAGATGGCATCTAAAGTCATCAAACTTCCATCGGCTCCCTTGCTGAGCTGTACCACTCAGTCTCTGGCCCAAATTTGGCCTCAGGCATCCGTAGACTTACCTTGGCCACTGTGCCCTCTCACTGGGGCCTCCATGCATACCTCCTTAGCTGGGGCTTACCTCACTAACTACTGGGGCCAGCCTATGCGCAGTCCTTCAGCTCATACCAACCATACTCTATGCACATCTGTGTAGCCCTTCAGGCCCACCTATGTGGACACTGCTCTACACCCTTCTGCACAGTCCTTCAGGCCGTCCCTATGAACCCTACTCTGTGCGACCTACTAGTTATGCTGCGCCCCTCACTGGGCCACTATTCTGTCTCCTCCCTGGGGCCACTACACTACCCCTCACTGGGACCACTGGGCCACATGCCCCTTAGGCCTCAGGCCTGTGATGACCTGCCTGGGCCCCAAACCTGTCCTTACTCTGGGGTTACCCACCAGGTTGTGGGGGCCCGGGGTATAAGGCACCCCAAAGTCGCCTTTCACTAGGGAAGCAATTGGTGTGGCATTTCCTGGGGACCACCCTGCCACAGGCAATCCCACCACATTATCCTGGTCTAGCAGGGTATGGTTTTAGGTCATTCCCCAGGACCAGGAACCTCTTTCCATTCCCATAGTTCCTGCTCTGTACTTCCAAGATTTTATGTGAGCAGCAGCTCCAACAGGGCAATGTTCCCTCTCCAGCTGCTAGCAGCAAACTGCTGGCCTTACTGCTCAAAACCTGCTCTTATATCTAGCAGCTGGGCCCTCTTTCCAATCAGGTGGCCTCCTGCTGGTCATGTGACTCCTAATTGGGAGTGCAGCCACCT